ACACAGGCATTGTTGGTTATAGCTTTCCCACTTTGTCTCATTATCTTCATTCATATATATATATATATATATATATATATATATATATATATATATATATATATTAGCGAAAAACACACAAGAAATAGATAATCTCAAAAGCAGTGATAAAAAAATTTCCTAAAGAGAGCTCAGGAGAATCCTCTCGTCTACTTTTCTTTAAAGAACTCAACAATGCAAAACAGACATTAGTTAACTATGGTTTCCCTAATTACCTCATTGACCACCAGATTAGATTATTTCTTTCCAAAGTAAATAATAATGATACTGAATACACAGACAAAAACAATAACATAAACATCTTCCACAAAAGTCAAATGCACATAACCTATAAGTAAGATGAATCTTCACTTAAAAATATCATAAAGAAATACACTACCCTAGTTGACCAGAACAAAAAAATTAAATTATCTACTACAAAAAATTTAAAACAACAAACCTTACCCTCAAAAATAACAACACACCTGCAAAATCAAAACTACAAAAAAACAACATTATATACAAGTTCAAATGTACCTTAAAGAGCTATGTCTCTGATCAAACCAAACTCATAAATAATCACAATAGTCATACTAATACATGACTATCCAGTTTACTTATGTTATACCTATCTGATCACAGCTCCATTAGAACTCATTTAAACACACAAACAACCCCACCAGACTCCATCTGAAACATAATAGTAGTAAATAATAATAATAATAATAACCATATCCACATGTAAAAAAATGATTAGAAATAATGGAAGCCCTAATAATAAAAAAGAAAAAAACAACATTGAACATTATCTATGAATATGGTCACAATGTGCTAACCATGTTTGGAAAATCAAATATTTCTATAAATTCAGATACATACATAAAAAACACACATTCAGTTAAAAAGTAAAAATAAAATCATCCTTGATAATGGCTAAAAGTATAGCCAAAAGCACTCAAATATGCAGGACTTTTGAATAGTTTTTATACAATTTGTGTCCAGAAAAGAAAACACTTTAATGAAACACACATATATATATATATATATATATATATATATATACATACATATATATATATATATATATATATATATATATATAAATATATATATATATGGTGATGTTGAAGAGCAAATAACACAAATACCCAGTAACACAAATGAACTAGGCAAGATGCCTTAACTAATGAACTCCAAGTGAGTCAGGGAAGTCTGGTGCAGTCTGTCTTTGGGTCGCGTCAAGACAAGACAAAACAAGACCTCTTTCTTCGGGTAGAGGATGACTTAGTCAGGGTCTGTCTTCGAATAGAGATTTGGCTGAGAAAAACAGAACAGTTCTGTACCCAATCCCACTATGGAGGTCTTAAAACTCATACAAATAGGAAAGAATATTTTATTTTTTACTTCAGCACTCATGATAACAGTGACAATGAAAAATTAGAACCATGTTGGTTTAATTTTTTTTCTTTGGTGTGTGCAAAAATTAAAAAAAGAGAAAAAAAAAATAGGTATTCTTCAAATATGGAAAAATTATTAGTCCAAGTGGTAAGAATACAACAACAAAAGCAACAACAGTTGTTGTAACTCCAGAAACAACAACAAAATTTAATTGAAATAATACAGAAGAAAATAGAAAATTCCCCAAATTCTTTCAATCCTGACACAATGGCAAATACCATATCTGAATTCTCATACAATTCGGTTGGGTCAGTGTTCCAAAGTCAAAGTAAAAAAAGCAATTGAAACAAATGGTCAATGCCATTGTTTAAACCAAAACATAGTGTACCATTCACAGCATTGAATCAAGTCAATGAAGAATTAAACAGAGTTGAAAAAATAGGTGTAAACTGAAAATATTAACCATGCAAAATGGACAGCACCAGCAGTTTATGTAAAGAAGAAAATAATAAAATTCGTATTTGTGCTGATTTTTTCAACAGGGTTAAACAAATATTTAGAGCCCCATAATTACCCATTAGCAAATCCAGAAGAAATTTTTGCAAAGTTAAATGGTTGTAAAAATTTTCAAAGCTGGATCTTTCTGAAGGTTATTTGCAAAAACAGGTTGAAGAAGAATTTTCAGCATTAACAACTATAAATATACACAAGGGATTGTATAAATTCAACAGACTTCCTTTTGGGATAAAAGTGGCAATATCTCAAGAAGCAATCGTTAATATGCTTGTAGATTGTGATTTTGCAGTTGCTTATCTGGATAATATATTAATTAAAAGTGTATGTAAGGAATAACATATCAGGCTTGGCAAAAGAGTTTTTGAAACTCAGCAAGGAAACATTAACTTGTGGTAGTGGATAAATTTACTAAGTGTCCTGAAATTTTAAAGTGCTAAAAACAACTTCCATGGATACAAACTGTTTGCAAGATATGGCATTCCAGATGCTATAGTCTCAGATAACAATTCACTGCTTAGAAATTTAAAGATTTTTGTAAAATGTTCTCGATTGGACATACTACTACCCT